CAAATGGATCCAAGGGACTGTCCATGGGAAGGAGGGATAGTATAGGCTCAGAAAAGGGAAAGGAGATGATCACCTGGCCAGGCACCCCAGGTAAGGAAGGAGGAATCCCCAGAACATTTATAGCTTTGAAAACCAGAGGGGCCCAACAATCAGTGAGGCTTAACACTTGGAACTTTATTTTTTTTATTATGTTCAGTTAGCCACTGTGTAGTACACCATTAGTTTTTGATATAGTGTTCAATGATTCATTATTTGTGTATAACACCCAGTGCTCATCACGACCCACACTTGGAACTTTAAAAATCAGCAGGCTCAACTCTGGGAGAACTAGAGGGCCTTGGGAAACTGAGTCCCTGCTCTTAAAGAGAAGCAAAACAAAGCGCCCCAAAGAGATATAGCATAAAAGCAGCAGTTTGGAAAAGGAGAAAGTAAAGAGATTTATTTATTAATCTCTTTATTAATTTCCCTTCCTGGCCCCCAGCCTAGATACTTAAGCACCTACAGGAGCCAGCTCAGCACAACACTCCCCACCTAGCTTGCTAACAGTATGCCCCAGCCCCCCAACCCTGTGTTCATCTGTGAATCCGCCCCCTCCAACTTAGCCTCTGCAAGAGTCTTCCAGGTGGCTGCAGGTCCCCTTGGATAGCAGACAAGCATGGACCTTGATGGCATTGTAGGCCCCACTCCCACGTTCTTCTGCAAAACTGCCCCCTCCAATAGGCACTTGGTAGAAACCCATCCAAAGCACTGCCACAAGCCTGGCAGTGTGCAAGCAGCCCTGACAGTGGCGAGCACCACTCCAAAGTGACCCATGTCTCAGGGATAGGGGAAGATAACCACACTCTCCAGTTCAATTGTCACCCCAGCAATAAGCTGGGAGCAGACATGTGGTCTAACTGTGGGACTCCTCCCACCAATGAAAGCTTCTCAGGGGGACAATACAGGGAAAGTGCCCTGCAATTCAGTGTTACTGCATCTGGCAAATAAATACCTGGTCTGACTCAACTCAAGCCCAAGGTGGCCCCAGACTGGTCCACTAACACCACAGGAGCCAAACTCTGCCCAAAACAGGCAAGGAGTCATTGCAGACAACTAGACTGAAGGCAAAAGTGGCTCAGTCATAAAAGCAATACCAGGGTCATGAGATTGAGCCCCGTGCCTGTGCTGGGCATGGAGCCAGCTTAAGAATCTCTCTCCCTCTACCCCAGCTACCTCTGCCCCAGCTACCCACCCCAACTCTCTCTCTCTTTAAAAAAGAGAGAGAGAGAGAGAGAGAGAGAAAATAGAACAGAAAGGCATGCTTCCAAATTCATTCTATGAGGCCAGCATGACCCTGATACCAAAACCAGATATAGGCGCTAGAAAAAAAGAGAACCACAGGCCAACATCTCTAATAAACACAGATGCAAAAGTCCTCAACAAAATATTAGCAAACCGAATCCAAGAATATATTAAAAAAAAATCATTCACCACAACTAAGTGGGATTTATTCTTGGGATGCAAGGGTGGTTCAATATTTTCAAATCAATGAAAAGAATACATCACATCAACAAGAGAAAGAATTCAAAAAATATCATTTCAGTAGATACAGAAAAAGCACTTGACAAAGTACAGCATCCATTCCTGATAAAAAAACCCTCAACAAAGTAGGTATAAAGGGAACATACCTCAACATAATAGAGGACATATGTGAAAAACCCATTGAGTATGATACTCAATGATGAAAAACTGAGAGATTTTCCCCTAAGATCAGGATCAAGACAAGATGTCCATGTTGACCACTTTTATTCAACACAGTACTGGAAGTCCTAGTCACAGCAATCAGACAACAAAAAGAAATAAAAGGCATCCAAAATGGAAAGGAAGTAAAGTTTTCACTATTTGCTGATGACACGATACTATATATAGAAAACCCTAAAGATTTCACCAAAAAATTACTAGGCCTGATCAATGAATTCAGTAAGGTCGCAGGATACAAAAATCAAAATACAGAAAGCCATATACAGTAAAAAATCTATACAGCAATAATGAAGTAGCAGAAAGAGAAATTAAGAAAACAATCCCATTTATAATTGCATCAAAAAAAAAATACCTAGGAATAAACTTAACCAAGGAGATGAAAGACCTGTCCTCTGAAAACTATAAAACACTGATAAAAGAAATGGGTGAGTGAAATAGGGGAAGGGGATGAAGAGCATACTTATCATGATGAGCACAGAGTAATGGATAGAACTGTTGAATCACTATATTGTACACCTGAAACCAATATAAACCATATGTTAACTATACTATAACTTTTTAAAAGTTACTATTTCAAAAAAATATCTTTTCATCGCAAATTTAATTGGCAAAAAAGTAAGTTTTGAATTTATACTAGATAAAATAATTCAGCAACAATTTATAGATTATTGTTCTCATTTTGACATTAAGATATGCTATCTTAATGGCAGCCCTACTTATTTTACCAGCAAAACAATATTAAATAGCGTCACATTAGGTGATCACTTGACATCTATGAAATCATAAATATGAATCCAAATATAGTAATTGAAATAATAACCCAGAATGTGATTACATTAAGTTATTAGATTATTAAAATAAAACACAAAATTTTATATTTCTACAGAATACTCATGGTCCATGAAATTTCATCCTCTAGCCACAGTTTGAGAAAGAGTGCACTACACCATAGTGACAATTAGAGTGAGAGGCATAAATGATTTTGATGTGAGAATGAACTGGAGATAGGCAGGTTCTAGCTGAGATGTCAATGAACCAGGCACCTGCTAGAAGTCTCATTTTGCTAAAAATTTTATCTCTCAGCTAGTTGATGAAGCAATGAGGGACTATTACTCTGGATTTAACTTTGGCCAGAGAGAAAGAACTGGTTCATGAAATTCAAGTGACAGGAACCTTGGGAGAAAGTCAACTTGTCATCTTAGTGCTTGAAATAGCCCAGAAAGGAAATACTCAGTGCAGTGTGACAGGTAGCTTGGATGTTAGAAAGCAGATTTCAAAAAAATTTCAGAGAGGAGATCTGAGTGATTCCATAACTTCAAGTCTTTTAAAAGGATTGGAGGCCTTGAAAAACAAATTCTGAAAGAAAATTATAAACATCAACAACAAGGTAGAAAAAAAAGGGAACAGTATATAAAGGAAACTAACATAGCTACATACATTTTCCTGCATGCACTGTAAGGAGGACACAGGGAAAGGATTACAATTTTGAACATCTTTATCTGTATAAAAGATGCTAAATCATTTGCATACAGGTGTCTCTACATCCGTTTTACTGATGAGGAAACTGAGGCTCAAGGAGATTACAGAGACTCCAGAAATATAATATCTAGTATAGAATTATTAAGATAACTAAAGATAATAAAAAGCTCTGTCGGCCATGTGAAAGATATTTTTTAAAAAAGAAAAATGGTTAATTCCAGTACTTGATGCTGATTATTTCATATTAATCAAAAATAGTAAATAAGCATAAGTAATTAAAGCTTACATTCTCTATGATGGAAATACATCTTTATACTAGTAAGGATAAAACAAATGCAAATAGGGACACCTGGGTGGCTCAGTCCATTAAGTGTCTGCCCTCGGCTCAGGTCATGATCCCAGGGCCCTGGGATGGAGTCCCACATCGGGCTCCTTGCTCAGCAGGGAGCCTGTTTCTCCCTCTGCCTGTTGCTCTCACTGCTTGTGTTCTCTCTCTCTCACAAATAAATAAATAAAATCTTTTAAAAAAATGCAAATAAAAGACACATGGATATACCTATAATAAGAAGCAAATTTAAGTGTCTGTTGATACATTACATTCTGTATAAGCAAAAGCAGTCCCCTTCTTAGTGGACAGATAACACACACACACACACACGCCAATCCACTGACAACTAGTAACTAAGTAGATTCTCTTTAAGAATCTAAACTAAGAGACTCAGAAATAGTAACTAGTCAGATAAAGGTAAGTAGTAGAATTGAAGAGTCATTTTAAGGCAGACCAGCATTAGCATCATGGCAAGTCTGAGCCATCTGCACACTGACATCATGGAGAAGCAAAAGCCAGAAGTAGCCCAAGCATGCAAGTATTCTGAAAGCAGCAAGACTGTAAGGCATGCATACAGAGAAAAGAGTAGATGAGAGACCTGATATCCCAGGAAAGACAGACAGTAGCCTCAGGTACTGGTTTTCCAATTCTAGGTGTCCTGTGTCCAGGCTGCCCAGTTCTGATCCTTAAATAACTAAATGACACACCAAGTGTAATTTGGATACCTACTGGGTTATCTGTACATCATCTCTAGCTCTGGAAACTCCATTCTACCTCTTGCCATCCACATATTAATAGGGTAGTCATGTTCATACAATATAATGCCATCTCCTGAAAACATTAATCCAGATATGGAAACCTGAACCAAGAGAAACAAAAACACTCTCTGCATGGAATACAGAATAAGAGATTTCAACGTAAAATAGGCTACTTATTGAAACAGAGAGGATATAAATTTGAGTGTTATTGGTAGTAGTCATTATCTACTTCTGAACCAGGAAACATAGAAATATTTTCTTAAAAAAAAAGTGACATGAAGAGAAAAAGATAACAGATGGAGAGAACTTACTGGGTTCCCTTCAAATAGACTAATATGTAATTCATCTGAAATACAATTGCATCCCTGGCCTTGGGTACCACAAGACAACCACTGTTCCCCATATAATTATAGCACCAATGGATGATCATGGTGACTGGGAAGAATGCTAAAAAAAAAAAAAAAAGATATACAGAAAATTCCATGTAAAATTAAAATGTACATACAGAAATTACACATCTTAAAGCATTCTACCAATTACCAGCAAAATTCCAAGACATATAATTAGACAGATGGCTCATGAACACCTAGAAAAGGAAGTGGTAATCACCAAGAGCCACTTTAAATTCTAAGAATAAATTATACCAAATTAATTAAATTATATAGACATAGTGAATCTGCATTTCAATGAGGCATTTAATGGGTATTCTGTTGATGTCTTTTTGGACAAGATATATGTGGAGACGATGTTTATAAATTATGTGGATATGTGTTAGTTGAACAATTATTCTCAAACCATGACAATTACATGGCTCATTTTTGAATGTGTTATGAGCCTTATTCACAATTTTGAGTTAAAAAATGGATATGGATATAGAAAAGATGTGTTTTAATTTGGAGAAATAGTTAAGTATTGAATAACATAATCATGACTGAAAAATCAGGTTTTTTTTTCATTATAAATGTTGGAACAATGGATCAAATTCAGTAAAAAGTAATTCTAGAAGATAAGTATAAAGTCTAATAGTCCTGGTTAAAAAGTTGACGTCACAAACACAGGATAGCAAATATCATAAATAGGAGAGAAATATTCATGTCCTTTGAGGAATGGCACCATACCTTGTAAGTCCATATTTATAGCTCCCAACACAACTCCTGGAACAAAACAGATGCTAGAGTTAGACAATTTTTTAATCAATTAGAGATTTAATATGAGCCAACAAATGTCATGCACATTTATGTAGCATTTACACAAAGACAGTATTTAACAAAGAAGTCAATAATACCCTGTACCTTACACAGGTCATATTTGGCACACTGTGTCTGCTTGGGAGCCATATATTAAGTGGAACACTGATAAACTGAAGTGGTTCCAGAAGACAGTAAACAAGACAGTGAAAAGACAGTATTCTTGTGTTGGTCAGAGTTCTTGAGAAAAACAGAACCAACAGGGTGTATATATTTATATTTATATCTATATGTATCTATGTATCTTGAGAGAGAAAGAAATCAGCTCATGCAATCATGCAATTGTAGAGATTGGCAAAATCTATAGAGTGTGCTGACAAGCTGGAGACCCAGGGAAGAGTTTATGTTGAAGTTCAAGTCTGAAGACAGTCTGCTGGTAGAATTCCCTCTTCCTGAGTAATGTCAGTCTTTTTCTTAAGGCCTTCAAATGACTGGATGAAGCCCACCCACATTATAGAGGACAATCTACTTTACTCAAAGTCCACTGATTTAAATGTTAATATCATCTTAAAAATATCTTTAAGCAACATCTAGATTAGTGTTTCACCAAATATATTTGAGTGCCATGCCCTAGGCAAGTTGACACATAAAATTAACCATCTCAACTCCACTGTCATATGATAAATGATTAAGGGAAATAGAGATATTTAACTTGAAAGAGAGAAAAGCTGGGGGGACATAGATATATAGAACCTGTTTTAAAACATTTCAAATTTTAAAATAAAGAGGGGATTAGATTCAGCCATTATAACTCTAAAGTGTTATTTTAAGATGAAGGGCAAAAATTACAAACAAATTTTTAACAGCTAAACTAATTTAAATGAGAAGTAGGATATATTTAAAAAATATGTGGCAAGGTCTCAATCCTCAAGGAAATTTACAGTTTAATTATGAGAGCAAAAATGCAAATATGAAAAAAATTCATTAATTCATTAAACTAATATTAGTTACTTATCATTTTCTATACATTAGCAATATAGTAACAATCAAGAAAATTTGCCTGCCCTTACAAAGCTCATATTCTCATGGAAAGATACAGAAAATAAATAAAATATATAGCATGTTAAAAGTGATAACTTCTAGGGCGCCTGAGTGGCTCAGTTGGTTAAGCGACTGCCTTCGGCTCAGGTCATGATCCTGGAGTCCCGGGATCGAGTCCCGCATCGGGCTCCCTGCTCAGCGGGGAGTCTGCTTCTCCCTCTGACCCTCCCCCCTCTCATGCTCTCTCTCTGTCTCTCATTCTCTCTCTCAAATAAATAAAATTTAAAAAAAAAGTGATAACTTCTAGGGATATTGAGGAGTCTGGCTCCTGCTTAAAAACCTAGGTGTGATTTTTCAAGCCTGATCATCAGCAATTACAAAGGCTTTATCTGGCAGGTCTCATGGAGAAAAACTGCCCTCCCCACATCAGACCTGGTGTACAGCCAGCGTACTGCAGTCTGAAGGGAGTTACAGTCAAAGTCTCAGGCCCCCTTGGTCAGCCATGCTTTTATTCTCATCCACATACTAAGCCCAAGCACCTTCATTTCAAGGTTTGTTTATCAGGGGTCTTCATCTGAGGCCACCTCCAGATTACTCTGCCTACAACTCCTTATGGGGGATGGAACTATGCTCGAAGACACTTTTCTCCACTCTGAATCAGTATTCAGTACTTTTTCACTCCTAGTCTTCTTCTCTCTTCCATCATCTTTCGGGTCCACAAAACTGCAGGAACCTTTTGTTCAATGCTCCCTCAGCGCTGACACAACCCCCACATCTGTGCAGAGCTCCCTAACCCTCGACCAGTGAGTTTTTCCATAGGGAAAATGGAAGGAGAGGGAGCTCACGTTTTCACCAGTTTAGCTTCTTGTTTACACTACAGCAGACAGTGATTAAAGGTGTAGCCGTTCCTTTCATTTTGGCTTATTGTCAGAGTTGGCTACTTGGACCGCTGACAGTTCAGCTTTCCCCATAGTGAGCTCCATAGAGTTCATAGAGAAACTATCTTGGTCAATTCCAACTGCTATAACAGAATCCTGTAGACTGGATGTCTTAAACAACAAATATTTATTTCTCATAGTTCTGGAGGCTGGAAGTCTGAGATTAGGGTGCCAGCATGGTCAAGTTCTTGGCAAAGATCCTCTTCCTGATTTACAGATGGCCATATTCTCAATGTATCTTTGCAAGGCAGAAAAACACAGGTGATCTCTCCTGTATCTCTTCTTATAAGGACACTAATCCCATTCATGAGGGCTCCACCATTATGACCTAATTACCTCCCAAAGGCTCCACATCCTAATACCATCACACTGAGAGTTAGGATTTCAGCATGTGAATTCTGGAGGGACACAATATTCAGTCCATAAGAGAGGCAAAATAAAATAAAAAAGGAAGATAAGCCGGGACAGGAGAAGAGATACCATAATGTAGTCAGAAACCTAAGAAGGTAATACATGAGTAAACACCTGAAGGAGGTGAAGGAGAGAGTTTGGAGGACACCTAGGAAAGAGCACTGTAGGCAGGGTAAATAGCAAAGACAAAGACCCTGAGGAGGATACAGGCCCTGTTAAACACTGGCCAGATGGTGAATATCCAACTATCATGGAATGCAAGAGGTCCTGCTTCCACAGTTCTTTCAGTCTAGTTAGAAAAAAAAGAAAAGAAAGAAGAAAGAAAGAGAGAAAGAAAGAAAGAAAGAAAGAAAGAAAGAAAGAAAGAAAGAAAGAAAGAGAAAGAAGGAAAAGGAGAGAGAGAAAGAAAGAAAACAGGATAATTAGTTAGAAGACTTTGAGAAGTGCTGTGGCAGAGGAAAAATAGGGAGGCTCTGGAGATGCAAAGCAAGGGAGCCCAACAATCACTGAGTGGTCATGGTAGACACCCCAGAAGTCAGGATGTCTAGTCAGAACACAAGAAGAATAAGAAACAAGGAAAAGGGTCAGAAAGGGTTCCATGATATGGGGGGGGGGGGGAAAGTTAGTGATCAGGTAGGGAAGTCATGCTGCACAACTCTAGGGGGCTCCACTCACAGCACAGTCTTGGCATCATGCAGTGCACATATGTGAGGCCTTATATGATGAAATCAGAAGCTAAAATCATGCTGGTTTGGGGGACTCAAAACATTCAATACAACTAGAGTGTAGAGTGACTTAGAATAAAATGACAAAATCAAGAGGTAAGCAAAGATTTACACAAGTTTTTTTAAAGTCACGAAAATATTTTAAATAAGATATGAATATGACAAAAACTCTGGCTGTTATGATGCAGTAAGTGATTGTGGGGTAAAAAGGAAAACCAGCGATGAGACTACAGTCAGAGATAAATTTTCATGGCTTGGAATAGGGTCTTAAAATTAGGGTTAAAAAAGAGTAGAAGCAGAAAGGGTTGGGAGCTGATGGAATGTAGATGAGAATAAAAAAAAAATTAAGGATTATCCTCTGGTTTTAATGTAGACTCCTACAACAATGGTGATGACATTTTTGACATACAGAACCAAAGAGGACAACTAGATACCTTTTACAAGATGATCTCCTTAATACGAACCTTATGCACTTGAAGTGCCTGCACAGGATCTAAGCAGAAAAATAAATAGGATGAAATATTAATAGATGATCCACAAAAGAAGGGTTCCTTGGTCAGATATATCTAGAAAAATACTACATATTCTATCCTGCTCTTAAGGATCTACTCATTATTTATTCATTCAACCTATATTTTGTAGCTCCTACTTTGTGCCCTAAACTATGTTTCACTCTGGAATATAGAACTAAATAAGATGAACATGGTCTCTGACTTCAAGAAGCTTACAATCTATGGGTGATAGATGAATCAAACAAATAATTATTTAAATTATAATTGGGATAATTCTACAAATGAGTAGTATGAAGTCCCAGGAATGTGTAAGACAGGGAGCCAAATCTAGCCTGAGGATCCCCCTTGTCACTCTCACATTAATGTATTTAAATCCTACCATTGTGAAACCCATCAAAATTATTTAAATAAGGATTAACAAGGTTCATGAGATTTTTTTTAAAGCATGGAAGTTGTTTTATTTCCCCTACAAATATCTATTCCATGTAAAGAGCAAACCTTGGAATGTAATTTGAAAAATTTCTCAAGAAAGAAAACAAGGGAAAATTTAAAAAGTACTTGAGTCTTCATTGCCAGCGTGTAGTTCCCTTTTCTTCAAAGAAAGAACAAGACCAAAGGTGTGGAGGCAGGACACACAGGCAGTTTGGAGAACACGAAGTAGAACGGCCTGATTAGATAAACAGCAGGCCCAGCTAGCAATTCTGACCAGTTGGGCACTCAAAGAGAAACTGTACTGAGTCACTTGACCACCCAAATTGTTTCCATTTCCTACTTCACACACTAAAAGTGATGACATTCATTTCTCTCTTTTCCTCCCATTCTAGAGACACAGCAAGGCTGTCATAGCTGTGTTTAATGAATGAAAGAATGAATGAACTCTGATCTCTTTGGTATGTGTAATGAATAAAATATTATTGATATTAATAATGAAATACAGTTATTCAGCTTTTAACTGGCACAGACTGAGATTTCATTTCTGATGTCTGCAATTGTTCTTTGAGTCATCAAAGGACTTTAAATCAGTTGAATGTTCAGGCTGAATATATTTGTATTTTTTTTTTCAGTAGAAGTGTGAGTCAAGGATATTGGAGCTAGAAATATGCCCTGGGAGGACCAGGATTTAGTGTACCCTCTCATATCTTCCCTCTCTCCCTGCTGCTCTTGTCCTCCCAAATACACTCTACTAAATTTTCAGCCAAAATTTTTACAAGACAATTTACATGAGAGCAATTTTAGATAACTGACCATTTGTGGGTTCACTAAATACTAGAGTAAATCACTGTAATTAGATTAATATGCAATTATTAAAAATAATATTGCATTTAATGCTGCAGGAAGAT